AAAATAGATCAATATTATTTTCTATTTTTGAAAGCTTTTATAAAGAAATAAAAACTCGGTTTGGTGTATCTATTTGTACCTTAAGAAGTGATAATGTACATGAATATTTATCCAAAAAATTTCAACCTTTTATGTCATCCAATGGTATTCTGCACCAAACATCTTTCCCTTATACACCTCAACAAAACGGAGTAGCCGAATGCAAAAATCGGCATCTCGTAGAAACCACTCGGACCCTATTTCTCCATTGTAATGTCCCTCTTAGGTTTTGGGGGGATGATGTGGTCATGACATGTTACCTCATAAATCTCACGCCATCATCTATCCTTAATAATAAAATCCCTCATTCAATCATGTCTCCAAACTCTCCTCTTCACCCAATTCCTCCTTGAGTCTACGTGTTTTGTGCATAATCTCTCCCCTGGTCTTGATAAATTATCAGCTCGATCACTAAAGTGTGTCTTTCTTGGTTATCATTGATCCCAAAAGGTTATCGTTTCTACTCACACACTCTGCAATGATACCTGGTCTCGGCCGATGTTACCTTCTTTGAGTCAGTGCCATTTTTTGAGTCCACCCAAGTCACTCTGGAACCCCTTCAGAAAATTACTCCTACACCTCTTCCGAAAGTCCCATTTCCCATTATCCCCGACCATTTTAGGGAATCTGACCCACTAGAAACCCCTACAGTTGACCCCTCTACTTCTCACCCACTTCAAACATATCAATATTGTCAACCCACATATGTCGTACCTATCCCTGAGGCAGTACATGTCCCTGAGGTTATTGCAGATTCTCCTCTGACGCCTTAGCCATCATCGGATCTGATCCTGCAACTTGAGTCTGATCTTCCGATTTCCCTTCACAAAGGTATACGTCAAACATGAAATCTTTCTCCATATTATATTGATTTATGTTATCATCATTTGTCCCCTTTGCAATATACATGTTTGTCTTCTGTGTCTTCTATTTCTATTCCTAAATCTCCAGGTGAAGCATTATCTCACCCCGAGTGGAGGCAAGTAATGATTGATGAAATGTATGCTCTTCAAAGTAGTGGTACTTGGGAACTGTTTCCTCTACCTCATGGGAAATCTTTAGTAGGTTGTCGTTGGATTTATAAAGTAAAGGTCGTACCAGATGGTAAGATTGATCGTTTAAAGCTCGCTTGGTAGCCAAAGGATACACTCAAATTTTTGGGTTGGATTATAGTGACACCTTCTCGCCTATAGACAAGATGGCATCTGATAGACTCCTTTTAACCATTCGACATTGGCATCTTCATCAACTTGACATCAAAAATTCCTTTTTACATGGTGATCTTGAAGAGGAAGTATATATGGCGCAACCACCTGGATTTGTTGCTCAGGGAGAGTCCTCGAATATGGTTTGTAGGCTACATAGGTCTTTATGGTCTTAAGCAATCTCCGAGAACTTGGTTTGGCAGATTCAGCACTGTAGTACAATAGTTTGATATTGTTTGTAGTGAAGTTGATCATTCTGTATTTTATCGACACTCAGCTCAAGGGTGTATCTATCTTATTGTGTGTGTAGATGATATTGTCATAACTAGTAGTGATCAACAAGGAATATTACAGTTAAAACAACATCTCTCGAATCAATTTCAGACAAAAGATCTTGGTAAACTTCGCTACTTATTGGGAATTGAAGTGTCCCAATCCAAAGATGGCTTGGTGATTTCCCAGCGGAAATGCGCTATGCATATTTTGGAAGAAACAAGGTTGTTAAATACAAAACCAGTTGATACTCCTATGGATCCAAGTGTCAAACTACTACCCAATCAGGAGGAGCCTTTATCTGACCAAGGAAGATACGATAGATTAGTTGGAAAGTTGAACTATCTCACAGTCACTCATCCAAATATTTCTTTTGCACTTAGTGTGGTAAGTCAGTTCTTAAATTCCCCTTGTCAGGAACACATGGATGTTGTTATCCGAATTCTGAGATACATCAAATGTGCTCTAGGAAAAAGTCTTGTGTATGAAAATAAAAGACATACTCAGATAGTTGGATACTCTGATACTAATTGGGCAGGATCATCCATTGATAGAAGATCCACCTCGGGGTATTGTGTCCTTGTTGGAGGAAACCTCATATCCTGTAAAAGTAAGAAACAAAATATTATTGCAAGATCAAGTGCCAAGGAGGAATATAGGGCCATGGAAATGGCAACTTGTGAACTTATTTGGTTAAAACAATTGCTCAAGGAACTTCGAGCTGAAGGTGCAAAACCAATGACACTTATTTGTGATAATCAAGTTGAATTGCATATTGCTTCAAATACGATCTTCCACGAGAGGACCAAACATATTGAGATAGACTGTCACTTTGTCAGAGAGAAGATCGAATCAGACGATATCACCATAATCTTTGTCAACTCTAATGACCAATTGGCCGATGTGTTTACAAAATCTCTACGAAACTCCATAACCAACTATATATGTAACAAGCTTGGTGCATTTGATTTATATGCTCAAGCTTGAGGTGGAATATTGATATTTATATATAGAATAAAAATATTCTCTAGAATATTCCCTTATATATACTAGGATATAGAATATTCCCTAGTATATTCTAGTATAGGATCAGTATATATTTAGTAATGTATATTGTTGATATGAAATTCTCTTTTTATATATATATATATATATATATATATATATATATATATATATATATATATATATATATATATATATATATATATATATATATATATATATATATATATATATATATATATATATATATATATATATATATATATCATTTTCCGTTGTGCTATTCGACACACAATTTATTCAAATGTCTCTTAGTCTCTCGTATTTTAACTATTAGTATCGCTTTACACTGTTACAAATGAATTATAATAAGATTTTGAAAATCAAATTACGACGGTAGAATTTCACCTTCACGACATTTTGAAACAATCGCAACTAGTATGAAAAAAGAATTTGAACTAAAATTCACGACGGTTTGTAACTGTCGCAATTAACCAGTTAAGTCAGCTGCCTAACAATCGCAATTTAGAACGATAGTTGGAGTGGTAGTTTTAGCAATAGTCACATTACAAATCGACGACACACGTTTTTGTGACAAAATTACAACCGTCGCGACACAACATTTGAGGCAAAACCGCTATAACCAATTTTTCTTGGAGCGAAAACCTGGATTAGGCTTTGGAACTTCTCACTAAGACACACACCCTCTACCCAATTTTCCTTTCACAAAGATGTTGAGCTCTCATTTCCCGCAACTAGCATAAACACGCTAGAGAACCAATTTATAGTTAAGTCCAATCATTCTCTTAAAAAAGAAATAACTTTCGATCAAGAAATGGTAGAGGCCAAAATCCATCTCCAATAGGCCACCGGGGTGTGATAAAGGAAAGTTAACCTCATACCTAGCTTTAACAACATTCCATCACAAAGTTGAGCATATATTAAATAGACCTCCCACCCCAAACTCTCCCTTAATCTTAAGTATACATACTTCTGAACAAACTGACTCAAAAGACTTTATTAAGATATTTAATATATATTAGATTTTAAGAACAAGTTTAATTTGTCTAACAACTATTTTTTTACAGGAAATAGAATATTTTAATATTATACTAGAAATATATATTTTTTTAAATATAATTTTCTACATATAATATCTAAGCATTCTCATTTGTAGTAACTTTAAAATCTTTTTTAAATATTACAATTATATATTTTTACAACAAATAGATAAAAAGAATTCTTAAAATGATTATTATAATTAATTTTTAAAATTTGTTTTCAATAAACGGGTTTATATAGAAAATAAAAAATGCAAGATAATCTCTAACACCCAATGAGGTGACTATTTAAATACTAGTATATAGGTGAGGCAATAAATTTGATTCCCATATTATGTAATTTGTTATTAGTATTTATAATTTTAAATATAATTTGTCTATGGATGCAATGAATTTGGTTTCCATGTCTTGTAATTTTTTTCTCCAATAGATGACATACAATATTGGAATTGACCTAAGCAAGAAGCTTCTCCATGGTCCTTGGAAATATACCAAACATGTGCATAGGATCTTTAATTCCATCACTTTGATTGGAAATCAGTTGTTGGATCTAAATGAATTTGATTTTCAAAGCTACAACTTCTATTTGCCAAAAAAATAATAATTAATACACACTTGAATTTTGTCTATTCTTTTTCTGTTGGTCTATAAGCTAAATAATTAAAAGGAGAGATAGGTATCTCCAAAACATAATCTAATTTGTTGGTGACATTGAAAAAGTAGTTCACCTATAAGATTGGACATATTTGGGGGACACCTAAGCTTTATTGAACCTATGTATTAATAATACAAATTTACAAGAAATCTATCATTTTCCATATGTTGATGCATTTGTTTTAAATTAGGTATAGAACACATCAAGTAGATAATCATGCTTGTGATTGTGAATATAGCAACGAAAAGCTCAAACCTGCTCATTATTAAGCTTTTCTTTATAAGCTCATTATTAAGCTTATAATATGCCAATTGATAGCCTTGATTATGACATTGTTGGAAGCAATTTCTCTTATTTATGACAAACTCATATGTTACAAAAGAAATAAGAGTGCTTTGTAATCTTGAGAAAAAATAGTACTTTGTAATTTTTTTCATCATTGATTCAATGAAATCATGGCCTGCCTAAACTTTTATTTTTCCCTACCTAAGTGACCATAACAATAATGGGATAAAAGTCAAATGTTTTCCTCTTGCATATAGTTTCCCACTTTGTGTAATTTGTTGAGGATGTAGTTTAAATTTCAAAGTATAAGTTTGATTAGGATTTTCTTTTCTCTTTCTCTTTACTCTCTCTCTCTATCTATCTATTGTCTTCTCTCTTTAGTCAGGAACTATTGTTCTTAAACATGGTTTGTGTGCAATCCTAACAAAAAAACACCTGGTGTGATAATTTTTGAATGCCAAGAGTCCCTTGCAGGCTATGAAGATGGAAATCACAATAAATTTTAAGGAGGAATTAGATTACAAAAGCTTATCAAGAAGGCTAGACAAGAAAGTAGATAAACTCATTATGGACCATGAAAGACAACAAAAGGTATTTGAGGATGAAATGGAAAGGTTATCAACAAAAGAACATCATCGGATATCTGAGACTCATAAACTATGTAGACTCATTGGAGGTAAGTTCTATATCAATTTTTTTATATTTATCATTTGTGCTTTAATTTGTGAGACCATCTAAATTTTTAAACAAAATTGTTACCAGAAAAATAAAGTGTCAAACCTATCTTTCAATTATGATAGATATGTATTTCATTCTTATAACTATAATTCATTGCTCAAATTATACATATGTTGGACCATAGGTCTTATAACACTATGAATTAGGATTACCTCAATCTGGATCCACTTTGCTTAACCATTTTTGTGAAGGGGATTGTTCTGATGAGAAAGTACCAAGTTTCTCTATCATATCATAGGCACAACTATTTTTTTCTCTTTCCCACATCCATGTATACTCAAGTTACACATTATAATATAGTTTAACTTCAAGTACAATACACTTAACATACTATTTGATTGAGTATTTTAATGATGACAAGTTATAACCTGCATTAGTATGACACACCAACGTGTAAGAGTCATTTTTCTATGACAATTGATTTATGTTTGATATTTTCCCATAGTTTCAAAATAGTTGTGAATTTTTCAAATAATATGGTCAATAAATTTTTGTTAAGAAGTCCATCAAAGTATGGTCAATGGTTTTTTGTTAAGAAGTCCATCAAAGTTTTTGGCCTTTTAATTATTACTGGATTTTTTTCAGTGTTTATCAAGGTATATCACATATACCCTGTCGACGTAGAATCAACTAAATTTTTTTAAAGTTACACAGTTAAGTATAACATGGTGATTGTAAGCCTAATTCTTGAAAGATATGTGAACAACATAGAGGTTATTTGGAACACCACCATAGTAATTGGAAATCACGACAATATAATTGGTATATACATGAATGTAAATTTCTTAAATTTTTCTACTTTGAATCTAATGCAAAAGCCATTATTTCAAGGACCATATACCAAGAATTTGAAAGATGAGTGAGATCATGTTTTATATGTAAGGAAATACAGGTCACCCTATACCAGAAGTGTTGTTTTCAACCCTACTGCTACTATTGGTTAACTCACTGAAGCAATGTGTCCAATAGAGGTTAGTTCTTTTATATAGATGGAAGACATGTTAGACTATTTTCTCTACATAGGTTTACGCTACATAATCATATATCTAGCTGGTAGTTCTTTAAATTGTCATTTTAAACCAGGCATCATTTGAAAAACTTTTGATAGAAGTGGCGGATTCATGTATGGGCCGATAGAGAAAGGAGTTATGTTAGGTCCTCTTTATGACACTGATATATCAAACTTTTCAGCACCTCTTGCGCATGGTCGCAAGAGTCATGTTTGCAGCATCTAATGAGAAGTGTTAGTGGACCGATGAAGAACACATTTTCTCAAACTTTCTCTAAGCATTCCATGGGTGGAAATTGGATGCAAATGTTATTCTTTCAACAAGTTACTCAATTATTGTGGCATTCTATAGAGTCGAAGTGTAAGACATAATGTAGTAGGAAAGGAATGTCTGAGACTCATACTAAATCTAATCATGAATGTTTTGAAGATTCTTCTTGTCCTGAATTAATTAAGGATCAATCATTTAACAGCGAGATAGTTGAGGAAAATGTTAGAGTTAATGTAAATGTTGAAAACCAATTATCTAACCGTGTAAACCTCTCCAATTTGCGGATATATCTTGAAGTTGTCCCATGTTCATTATCATGCTTGTTTTGTTTTGTTTTGGATTATTTTTTATAATTTGATTGTCTTTATGGTGTGTTCCTCTTTTTTGTTGTTGCATGTATAATGTGATTAATCTGATTGTATATGAAAAATGTAGTTAAAATTATTTGTTTTTATTAATTCATTTAAGTTATATTGCACCAAAATGTAATAGAAGTAAATGAGAATATGAGAAATAAGCTTTTTCTTTTAAGTTTTTTAAATATATGATTTACTAAAGACTTATATTGAGTATGAGCCTAATGTATGATTGTTTGATTATATATATATGAACAAAACATGAAAGGAGAGTCTGACATGTTTTTACTCTGTATTTTGTCAATTGTTAACCTAGTTTGGTGTAACTCACCTATTCTTGGAGCATCCAAGCCATGAAGAAAATCCACTATGATAATATTAGTTCAAAGCTAAACAACTTTAGTTTACAACTTATCTCCTAATCACTACCTTGTGCTACTTCTACCTAGAAACATTTTAGATATGAGATCCTCATCTCACTTTTCACAATCAACTCAGTGACAATAACAAAAACAGAAGAACACACTTCAAATTACAATACTCAATTTTGCTTAAAAGATTTTAACTGAGAACAGTAACTTGACACACAATCTACTCTTTTCTTAAAAGCTAACAATGAACAAACAAAGCACCTAAAATACTCTCAAAATCCTAAACCCTTATTTCAACCACACACGGTTTCTTGATGTGAATTCTTGCTGATTTTAGGTTTAGAAAGTACTTATATATAGACTCTTGCAGAATGGGCTTAGACTCTTCAAACAAATCCAATCTTCTAGTTGTAAATCAGCTGCAAGATCTTCTCTATAAAAATAGGAACAAATCTTCCAAGTTTTCTAAAAAGTCTCCAAGATCCTTTTTATGAAACCAAATCAAATTTGCATTGTTCCTAATAAAATCTTTTTGACCTGCGAAAATAAGTGAGATATATCCAAGATAATCTCACAAAAAACAAATCAAATATGTCAAGAAAATGACAGCAACACCTGTTGTGCAGTTTTCCAAGATGTCAAGATATCTGGCTCAACATCAGTTTGAGATACATGACAGTAGAACCTGTCATGATAGTTGGTTAAGATTTCATAACATCTTGCTCAACATCAGGTTGTGATACATGTTTTTCCAAATGCAACATGTTTTACCAAAATTGTTGTCAATCATAAAATCATAGACCTATCATCAAGGGATGAAAACAACCCTGACATGTTAAAATTTGTTTTCTTCTCTTTGTATTCTGCTATGTAAGTAGTTAAAACCCTCTTTTGTTGGGATTGTATGTAATTATACCATATTCATATGTATTTTCATTAATCATGGTGTTGTTTACAATATATGCTTGAATCTATATTGATGTTATCTTTGTGTTACCTTTTATCTTAATGGGTTCAGATTTCTATAGACATATACGGTTCGAAACTCGAACGAAGATAAACATCTATTAGGTTCTAAACTCTAGAAATAGATTTAGATCAGATATTCACAATGAGTATTGATTCTTAATGTTATGTGTTCTTTAGTTGCGTGAGACATCACTGATGAGATAATACGGTAGAACTCTCGTTGGTGCTTCAGACATGAACTCTATTGTGAGTGATACGTGATAGTATTGATGAATGTTTAGATTATGTACAACTGATTGGTAGAAACACATATTCTTGTGGTAGTTGAAATTCAATCCTAAAAAGTTTATTTCTCTGCAAAACTTTACTTTTACTTGTTTATATATTTTACTTGCCGCACTTTACGTTTTTAAACCATGCAAACCAAACTGAAAATCGTAGAGACTATTGAATGTAATTCTTTCCCTCGCACTAATACTTGTGGAGACGATAAAACATAACTAAAAGTACTTAATTTTGGTTATTGTTATACCACAATAATAAAATGGCATCGTTGTCGGGGGTTGGTGTTTAGATATTGAATCACATTGCAATAGTTTTCATGTTTTAAAGCTTTGTACATATCATATATTTGTTCATACTTGTATATTTGTACATGTTTTCAATACTTATTTGGAGCATTCATATCATTATGTGTGGTTGTATTCAAGTTGGAGAGAGAAATTGTTGATTTCTTATAAGTTGGTTGCTAGAGGTTGGAAAATACAGTGGTAGAAAAATAAAAAGAAAAGGAAAAAATGTGAAAATAAAAATAAAAAGAAAAAGAAAAGAAAGAGAAAAGAAAAAAAATGAAAAAATGGATAAGATCAAGGTTGTAATTTTTTGTAATGAGAAATGGTTGTATAATTTTTGATTGCTTGAAAGTGTGGGAAGTGATTGCTCTCATATGATTAGGCAATTTTGTTTCATTGGCTTTAGATATGACACTTCCTTGTTAACCAAAACACATTACAACCCTAGAAAGTCCTTGTGATTTATGCTTTCAATGTGAATTTTCTTTGATGAATGCTTAAGTTGATATGGATGTTTGCATAATTGTCGAGTCTGAGTTATTTCCCTCTTTCTTTCTTTTTTCTTCATCATTTGAAGATGTGTGATAGTTGTAATTCATGATTGAGTTTGTATTGTCTTAGAATTTTTTACATATATTTTGCATTTAGAATTTGTTTCATTTTTATGTTGTCATTGTAGTAAAATGGTAAGCATTACTTTGTTTATGCTTTTTCTTTTGAACCATACATTTGCTTTCATTTTTCTAAACATGTTGATTCGTGATTTCTTGATTATTGTTTGTGTTTCATTAGGTTTGTTTGACCTTTGTTTGAGGACAAATAAAGTTTTAAATTGGGGAGTGTGATAAGTACCAAAATATCATTATTTTCAGTAGTATTTTGTGGCACTTATCATTCTATTATTTTGTACTAATAAGTAAAACCCTGACTTTTGTGTAAATAATAGCATATCATATTTTCATGTAAATATTGTATCGTTTGATTGTTTTTCATCTATTTTGTAGGTATTCATGTATTGTTGAAGAAATGAGCAATAAGAGCCAAAGGCACAACTTCAAAGATGTGATTTTGAGCAATAAAAGAGAATGCACAAAGCAAAGAATAAGCTTGTTACATATTTCAAATAGTCATAAAAGCACAGTATTTAGTCATTGTAATATAGATCACTGAATAATTTTTCCAACACTTCTGATTGTGTGTAAATCGGAGTTACAGTTCTCAAGTTATGGTGAAAACAAGAGATGATTTTTTTCTCGACACGGTTAAGTGTGCTATGCGGGCTCTGTGTGGGCTGAGTGTGACCTGCAACTTTGAAATTGTATAAATAGAGTTAAAATCATATTTTTTAGGGTGTGACCCAATTTTGAGAGAAGGGTTTCACCTTTTTTTAGGGCTTCCACCATATTTTAGGGTGGGGCACCAATTTTAGAGTGTTAGATGCTTAGAAATCAACAAGAGATAATGCATCTTGAATATTCAGAGATGGATTCGCGTTGATTATTTGAGACATCAAGGTTGATGTTGGATCATCTTTTTTCTTCTCTTTGTATTTTTCTATTTAAGTAGTTAAAACTCTCTTTTGTTGGGATTGTATGTAAGTATAGTGTAACACCCCAAAATAATCATATTATTATTTAATTGATTTATGATGAGTAATTGTGAATTATTAGTGAATATATGGTGTTTTGTTGAAAATGATGCGTAATGTGATGCCATTGTATGGAATTATGGAAATTAGGGTGATATTGTGAATTTTAGTAATTTAGATAATTAGTATAATTATTTAGAATTGCTAATTAGAATTATTATTATTATTAATTAAATAATATAATATGGTGTAGAGGTGATAAGGGTAAGGAGGTAATATTCGTAAGCATTAGTGAGGGTAAGTTGGGAAAAACATATTAGGGGTAAGTTAAACAAAAAGGAAAAATTGAGGTTTAGTGATTCATTCTGTACAATCGTGAAGTTTGAGAAGAGAGCAGTGAAGAGCTAGGGCATGAGGAAACGTAGATATTTCGGCCGAACACAAAGTGAAAGATCAAAGCTAGGAATCTAAGGTAACATGGATTATCCTTGTTATTATAATTGATATTGGGTTTAGATGTATGTAGGTTTGTTTGGGGTTTTATGATGAATTGGTGGTGTGATGATTTGTGATGAAATTGATGAACTATGATATGTAAAATACCACGGATTGATAACCATAATGATGTGATAATGTAATTTTGTTGATTATATGATAACATGTCTAATTGTATGAATTTTGTGTCTATTCTAGTTGAAATCGATTGGAAATTGGGAGTGAACAGGTG